AATTGCACAAAACGCATGATCGCACCGGCTAGTCTGGTGCGCGTTGCCATTTATTTTTTTTTGTTTGTACGCGTTACTGACTTTTCACAAATTCTCAACAAAGCTTTCAAAAAATTGGTCGAAAATTTAACTAAAGTCCTATTATCATCTGTTATGCTGTTATAAGTTGTTACTTTGTGCTGCACAGCTATGAGTATATTGTTGAGGACCCGAAAGAAACAGCTGCATTTTTTCAGCGTGTCGAATTTGACATTAGCCAGTCCAAGAATTAGATTTCAGTACTCACATATCTCCAATTAGCCCGAAAAATAACTCCCGCAGTCCTATCGCTTTCAGGAAAACCATATCTACCTTCCGTAATCCTCATTTCTCTTCCTCCTTTATCAGATTTTGTTTCAAAAATTCAGTCATTTCAAATTCATCAGATACCAAAACGAAGTAAACCTGATAAAAAGCATGCGTTTCGGCGACCAACATTGACGCACCAGCAACAATTGACGAGAGCGCAGCTAGAGTGACCGGGACTGCTGACTTCCGAGCCGCAAGACAAACTCGATGCTTGGCGCACCCAAAATTTGGAACTGAGGCACCGTAGTGCAAGGTGAAATCAAAAGACAAGCCAACAACGAGTACCAAAATAACGGCCTCCAGGACGCCAATGACCCAGCCCAGAGCAACCACGCAGCCCACTGTGGACACAACGATACAACAGATAGTGACAATCGCAACTGGCGACTTAAGTTTCAAATGGAAGAGTGCCAGAATTGTAACCACAGAGAAAGAGAGGATCAATGATTGGCGACAATCTGATATCATGGAACGTAGCAAGTCGAACCAGACGGACATCAGTGTCCACTCTGTCGTGTACCAGGCACCTGCAAAATATAGGTCAAAAAACGAGTTCAGTTAGAGAGCTTTGACTAAACTCCAATTGAAACGAAATCTCAGTTTGTACTTACTTGTGCTTTCATAGATTCAAGATTTTCAAGTTTGGTTTCATGGCTTACATGTTTCGTAAGGCGGACTAAAGTTCCTAAATTTTTGCTTTTACCACTTTAAACTTGCAAAAACGTTTAGGGACTCGTGCTCACGTCAAGGTACGGTAATAGCTAGTTTTCGATTAACTTCCTTAAAAAATACGCCAAAACTTATTGTATGTTGGATTCTTGGTTTCTAGCCGTGAATTTCACTAGAAGAATCTGACTTTACACGTCAAAATCTAATGAGTTTTAGGACCAGTGTAATGAATTATTGTGTAGAAATGCATAATAATGCTTGTAACGCTCCTTCCGTATTTTAAAAATGTGAGCGGAAATGAGGCTTTACCGTCGCCCATATTGCTAAAGGCGTGCTGGATCAGATCGAACGAATTTGATAGGTCCCGAAAACGGTGTGAATATTTGAGAGTGGTCGGCAGCAAAGCCGTGTAGCCAACAAGCTCAAAAGTTGTATTGTCGTAGATAGGAGTATCATTGTACTGTGTATAAAGCTGAGAAGTGGAGACGCGAATGCAGTAATCGGTGAGATTCTCTTGGAAATGGGGATTTGCGATGTTGCAACACGGCTGCGACGGGATGCAGACAAAATCGCGGCTCCAACTGAGATACCTGCAACAGTGCTTCGCGATTGGTCGTTTTAGCAGTCCCTCTCATCGTACACAAAGATACTGTAAGTAGTGGCATGTACTTGTGAGCCAGACCATTACAGTTTCTTGTAACTATGAGCACACCGATAGAAGCGTAGCAAATGCCAACATCACTTTCTGGTAATTAGTCCCTTTTCAGAGGGCTGCTTACAGGCATACTTACGGAGGGTTCGAATTCGCGGCTTACGCCAGTACCAATTTACCGTCGAAACGAATGAATGAATCCGAGGGTGACTGGTTACCCTGCTGGTGGATTCGATCTGATAACATCCAACATGGACACAGCAATACTTGCTACTGCGCCGTGGAGTAGGTGATTATTTTAAGTTTTTCCAAAACTTTTGACTAGAATAAATGCGGGACTAACTTCAACTTTCTTTTGCGCGGATTTCGGGAAAAATTAGATTACCAGAATTTGCGCAAGTTTTCTGTTTCTAGTAAAATTTTGCCATCAGTCTGGATTTGAGATGAGATGAAATCAAAATTTTTGGTAAATCGAAATACACTGCATGTTTTTAGGTACTCATCTTCGCGCTACGCAGTAAACTTTGCAGTTTTAATTCACAGATTTTCTTTTACAAGACTGTGAGAGTTTTAGCAAAACTTGAATAAAAATCGCTATGTGTAGTAAAAAACTGCATCCGTAAATTTCAGAATGTACACCACACAACACGCATACAGAGATGCACCAATGCATGACCAAGGCAGTAGTTATTAGTCAAATGTACACGACAAAAGCGCGACATATAAATTATACCCTGTAAAAGAACTGAACTGTTTTTATTTCCCACCCATTATAGCTATTTTTATGTAGCAGTCCGCCGTATCTGCTTTCTATTCGCAATTTTGGAAATGACGCTTTTTGGTTTTCAATCAAATTCTATCTTTAGCACTTCCTTTGCTTACAACATATATCGTCTTTTGGCATTCTACATTATTCATTCGCGCATTTCAAATCAAAATTTTCAAATAGATACTTAAAAGCGTGTTGGCACCAGAACGCGTACGAATTCACTAGGAACTGCTTGACAATCGGTATAAATCGTGCGATTCGTAGTATACTGAGCACCACTATGCTAGGCCCTCTTGCAGAAGAATAAAATGCACTTGCAATACACACATACACTGTGGCTCGACAATATGAGTTTGTGCAATTGTTGCAGTACAAAACGCATAAAAATATGCTCTGTCACTACTACGTGTGTTATTGCTTCAAAGTATCCAGATTAGTCTTAACTTAGGCTGTAACGCACCAATGATAACGCGTTTTTGTACTAAATTGCAAATCGTCAACAGCAGAAATGGTTGCTGCGCTGTAGTTTGACAGTTACACTCCGTCGGTTGTATTTCGGCCTTTTTCTTTAAGGAGAGGGAAAGGGTGCCGAATGGGATGAAGGTGTTGCATTGCGGGGCCGCACTGACCTCCAGTGTAAATGATTATTAAGAGGCTCGGTTATTTTTCTGACGAATGCTCCTTCACTGAAAAATGGATGAGGATTACGAAACCTGCAAAACGCACACGCTTTTGAGTCTGCGATTGAGTATTTTCTTGTCTGCGTGCATGGAATTTCACCACCAAGCTGAACTAAGGCCATGCATGAATACAGAATATCCTTGCAAAGGTTTAGCTTCTCAGCTTGCTTGGTAAGCGAAATTGCCAGTTCGCTACAAATATCTTTGAAGTGTTCCAGATTGTGGCGCAAATGCAGGTCGAAACTCAGTTTAGGCATACGATTTTCCATATAAACATCAAATATTCTGAAAAAATTTGAACTACTCTTTTCCGCAGTTTTCGAGTTAACACAGTGTCAACTACAAAATTTGACGTGACCGTACGCGCGATATAAGCGTGTGCAATAGCTGAATGTGAAATCTCTAGCTCATACGTGCACAGGGAGTATTCCTGCAAAATTTCAGCTTTCTGTCCTGTCTGGCTCACCATATCGTTTTCCGCCAAAGGAATTTGCATGTTTCTTTCGGGGATCAGTATGCGCAATCTAGGCGCGTATAAGCACAGATTTTAAAACGGAAAGATGACACACCGGGTGGAAATATGTCACCAAAATTTCAGCCTCCCAACTTCCTAATTGTCAAGTTGAAAGTGAGTGACAAAGTTCACTCGCTTCCGAACACACACACACACACACAGACGATCTCTCACCAATAAGCGATTTTGTCTACTGTAGCAGCGCTATAGCTGCACAGCCAAAATGCACAATAAGATTGAAAAAGCGCACAAAATGTTGCATGAGGATTACCTTTCTGGCCAGTAAGGACTGTCGTGCTTTGTAAAATTCAATTTCCTGTAACCATGTAGTTTCAGTGCCAACTGCTGGATATCATTCGTTGTGGAGAGCGAAAAACTGAG